TTCTTAAGTCCGTAATTCGATTCCCGGCGAAGGCGTTTGCATATTTTTTTCAATCTCTCTTGCTTCCAAAAAAAATCCTAATGTTCCTACAGTGGCCTCCAAACTAAAAGGGTGTTGGATGAAAATTCTCACACCCCAGGATTTGGTGGTTGGGTCCCTCCAAAACCCCAGTCGTCCTTTAAAAAGAGGAGTATATAAGGTATTTGCCCGCTTTCCTAGCGTGTCTTCATGTTGTAGTGGTATTCCAGAGGTCTGTGGTTCAATTCCTGGGGAAGGCGGTTGTTAATTTTTCATCTCTCTCTGGCTTTTCTTTTTAATTAACTTAATGCCTCTACACACTAAATGCTGCTAATGCAGTGTCCAAAATCTATATTTATACTATTTGAACATTAATATTGGAGATAAATTGAATGAAACATTTTATAGTGAAACTGCTATGTTCACTTTGAGTAAGTATGAATACATGTAGGCATTTTGTTGTTTTTAGTTTCATCACAGTTTTCCAGAGAGCAAGTATTAGTATAATTGTATAGTAACAGCATTGAAGTGACAAAAGTCATGGGATAGCAATATGCAAATATACAGATGGCAGTAGTAGTATCGCGTAGAAAATGTATAAATGCGAAGTGCTTTGGCAGGGCTTTTCATTTGTGGTTATTCATGTGAAGAAGCTTTGACATGATTATGGCCTGCTTGACGAAAATTAACAGACTTTGAACGCGGAATGGTAGTTGGAGCTAGACGCATAGGTCATTCCATTTCGGATATCGTTAGGGAATTCAACATTCTGAGATCCACAGTATCAAGAGTGTGCCGAGAGTATCTAATTTCAGGCATAACATCCCACCATGGACAGCACAGTGGCCGACCACCTGCACTTAACGACCGAGACCAGCGACGTCTGCGTTGAGTTGTCAATGTTCACAGACAAGCAACACTGCGTCAAATAACCGCAGAAATCAATGTGGTATGTGTCCGATAGGACACTGCGGTGAAATTTGTCTTCCTTGGGCTATGCCAGCAGAAGACGACTCGAGTGCCTTTACTGACAGCACGACATCGCCTGCAGCAACTTTCGTGGGCTCGTGAGCATATCAGTTGGTCCCTAAATGAATGGAAAACCGTGGCTTGGTCAGATGAGTCACAATTTCAGTTGGTAAGAGCTGATGGTAGGGTTCGAGTGTGGCACAGACCCCACGAAGCCATGCACCCAAGTTGTCAATAAGGCACTGTTCAAGCTGATGGTGGTTCCATAATGGTCTGGGCTGTTTTTACATGGCATGGACTCGGTCCTCTGGTGCAACTGAACCGATCATTGACTGGAAATAGATACCTTCAGCTACTTGGAGATCACTTACAGCCATTCATGGACTTCACGTACTCAAACAACTATGGGATTTTTATGGACGACAATGTGCCATGTCACCGGGCTACAATTGTTCGCGATTGGTTAGAAGAACATTCTGGAAGGCACTGTTCAAGCTGATGGTGGTTCCATAATGGTCTGGGCTGTTTTTACATGGCATGGACTCGGTCCTCTGGTGCAACTGAACCGATCGTTGACTGGAAATAGATACCTTCAGCTACTTGGAGATCCTTCACATACAGCCATTCATGGACTTCACGTATCAAACAACTATGGGATTTTTATGGATGACAATGTGCCATGTCACCGGGCCACAATTGTTCGCGATTGGTTAGAAGAACATTCTGGATAATTCCAGCGAATGTCTGGCCACCCAGATCGCCCGACATGAATCCCATTGAACATTTATGGGACATCATCGAGAGGTCAGTTTGAGCTCAAAAACCTTGCACCCATCAACACTTTCACAATTATGGATGTCTATAGAGGCAGCATGGCTCAATATTCCTGCAGGGGACTTCCAACAACTAGTTGAGTCCATGCCACGTCGAGTTGCTGCACTTCGCCGGGCAAAAGGAGGACCGACGAAATATTAGGAGGTATCCCATGACTTTTGGTCACTTTAGTGTACATAAATTCTAAAGTGTTATTGGAAAATTGAGCACATGTGAGACAAAAAGAAGATGGAGGTCAGAATTAAATATTCTATGACAGTCGTATGCAAGAAAAAAAAAAAAAAAAAAAAAAAATTTAGAGGAAGGAACTATGAGTGATCTGAAGAAAATATGATGCAGCAATGCGAAATACCCAAAAAATTATATGTAAGAGCAATATTACAGACTTTTAGCTTGTATACCACAAAGCCATAAATATGCAATTAAAATTACAGGGAAAATGTCCAACAATCCAGCATAATCAAGATTTAATACCAGATTATTGAACTAAACGTGCATAATGCTTCAAAATAGTTTTACCTATTAGTAAATAAGTTTAAAGGCAAATAATTTTGGTTGAATTTGTTTCCTTACCACTTTCTATTTCTTTTTCTACCAGTGGATTCAATGTGCTTTGAATTATGATCTTAGCAATTAATTTTTCCATCGTAACGGTAATAGCATTCGTAAACAACATTCTTCCATAATTGATTAATTTTCATCATTTTCAATCCATTAAATAATTTCTTTTTCTTTTTTTTTTTTTTTTCTTTTCCTTCTTCTGAAAGTTTGATTAATGTCAAAGGAAGACTCAGCCTTCTTCAATAGAATTTTGCTTTATAGCATTTGGCAAAAAAATATTTTACCAGCCTTATTTGTAATGTTGGATTGTTTACATTTTACAAGTGCTAGCATGCATGAGAACTGCATGTTCTGCATGAACTGAATTTGGAAGCCCTTGATGTTGCAATCAAGAGTTAATAGATTTTATACAAATTAATTCCATATTTGCATCTAAAGCTTACAACAATTACTTGATCCATAGGTTGGATTAATATTATCTAAGCTTGTAATGAATTGTCACGTCTCTCTTTTGTTTCCTTATCAACACTTCTATCAAGTTTTAAAAACATTCCAAGTAAATAAATAAAGCATATGATATACAAATGTTAAAAATTTAAAGAAAAAAAAAACTGAAAAATGGCAAAAAGATGTAAAACAATAACTAAACCTTTTAGATATTATCAAATGATATCCTGGTACAGTATGTTATTTCAGGAATGTTAGTGAAAGGTATGCTGAACTACTGGATTAACTCCTTCACACATCCAATCTGCCGGACATTGAAACAACCAGAACCGCCCGAAAGCGGCCGAGATTGTAATCTTCTTTTCTTCCCTCCCCCTAAGGTATGCACTAGCAGGTGCACTTTCTCCAAATGCACTGTATCAGTTTACTGCAGACAGCTTGTCCTAAGAGGTTTTTTTAATCTTTTGTTTGATCGTGACATTTCATTGTTGATTCTTTTGTGGTACAGTGTGCTTTTAAGCTTCAAACAGCAATAAAAGAGCAGCAGTTTACAAATTAAGGATTATATTTATTTTTAAACAATTTATTCCTTCCTATAAAAATAACGGAAATAAACAAAATCTCAGTAGTGATCGTAACAAAGCAGGAAAGTCTTGTCGAGCTGACCTTTAGAATAGTTTTATAAAGAACGGGGTCAAAGGCTAATGGAATCTTTGTTAGAAAGTACGGTACTTTTCCGTTTTGCCGGCGCAAATGATAAAGTCGCCAATAATGGTACAACTGATGTCAAACGGAATATCTTCGCTGGTAACCTTTTACGCCTCCTTTTTAAAACACAAATACCCATTTCGTACCAGATTGATTGCTCTTTTCAATACTGCATACAATTACAGAATATTTACAAAGATAATTAAATTTTATGACCTAAGACATTCGCGGTAATTAAGTCAATTGGATGCAATCACATCGCTCAACCGAAGGCGAAAATATAGAAAAAAACAAAATCAGAGTTAAATTCATTCATTCTAATGAGAATGCACTAGCGAAGTAAAGCACTACGGTTTTATTTAATTTCTGAGTAAGCTATTAGTACGAATTGAAATAATTCTTGCATTTAAACTTTTATTCCAATTAAGATTTAACTTGAAAATTAATGAAATAATTACTGAGAGAATAGATTTTTGTAGCGTAGTTTACGCGAGATGAGATCAATTTAAATGATGAAACCATATTAAAATTTTTATGCCTTCAAAATCAAAAATTGTTAGAACTAACATTTGTTAACATTTTTTCTGTTTATACTGTATGTTGTCGCCAACAAAGTCTGCTTGGCGAGATTTGCGCCGGCGAAACGGAAAAAGTACCGAAAGTACAAAGGATGCATTGGAAATCCCTATTTTCTGCATTAATGGATGGGGAGGGGAGGAAATTGCTGGGAAACTGGAAAAGTATTTCGGGCGGTTCTGGTATTTTGAGGATACCGCTTAGCGAAGGGTCTGGTTTTCAAAGAGTTAAAGGCAATTGGACCTTTACTATACTTGAACTTCCCATCACTTTGAAATCATATTTGTTGTTTCTCAAATCTGTTCTGTAGAAGATGTTCTGCTACTGTGCATGGCTGAGGTTTTGAACACCATTTATTATTTTTACTATGAAACATAATAAAACGTCAAAACTTATTAATAATTCTGCTATTAATGTTACAAAAAGTTGGTGAAACCTTGTATATGTATGCCAGTGAAGCATGTAAATAAATATATGTAAAGATCAAGATTACTTGTTAGTTAATAGATAAAGATCCTTAGTATAATTTACCCCATAAGATAATACAACTCTTAAATTACGATCTAATAAATATTAGGTTCCAATAATCTTACCTATATAAGTTGTTAGTTTAATTAAATTTGCATGCAAAGAAAGGAGTAAAACAAAACCCAAACTAATCAACTGCACTTAAAAAAACACAGCCAAATATTTAAGTCATCGCATTACCAAAATAACTACTTCTAATATATAATGCAACTGCAAAAACTTGCTACAAAATTAATAATACTTATTGCTATAGATGTTTAAAAACGAGACAGATAATAGCTATTTTGTTACAAATGAAAAATTATAACTCGATGATTACTATTATTATCACTTAAATAACTATAAATATTTTTACTTACTGAGTACAGGAAACAGAACAATTGAAATGTTTACATTGATGTGGATCTGATAAGAATATTTTGTTTTGCTGATAAAATGCAAAGCTTATTCATTTAAAATAAACTTAAAAGTTTTTGAACGCTATTTATATTGTTCACAAGGAAGCACTTCCGCAGAGAACCCGGTAAATGTAAACATC